AAAGGCCAAAGAAAAACCTGGTGAGCCTACAGACATCGACACACTAAAAAGAGCCATTGCAACCCAACTTGTGGCCTTGTACAAAATATTTTTTGAAGACAACCCAGGTGTCCAAACACATCCAGGGAGAAAAATATACAACAGTGTAGCTCAACAGGTAAAGTAGACGTTTCACTGTAACATTATATTTTGTTGAATACTTACAGAGTAGATATGTAGAATTTGTTATTAAACAAATGCATTGCATTGTAACTAATTTACTTTCTTTACTATGCAGGTTAAAATAAAATTTGGCAAGGCTGTTCAAGACACCATTTTGGGGCGTGTTGTGGGAGACGGCATGTCCAGTTTTGTAAGAAACTTTGAAAATAGCGTTGACAATAAAATGCGCAAGTACTGCAGAGAGAAAAGCTCCAGAAAAGTGGTAAAGGGCCGTGGCACAGTGGGTGTGCTCATTGATAAATATCAGCCAACTGTGAGAAACACACAAGAGCAAGAGGGCATTAAGGAAAGCATGAAAAATGAGCATGGAGCTGACCCAACTGTTTGGGATTGGGATGCCATCCACAAACAACTTACGGAGTCATTTCCATTGCAGCGACAGGAAATTGTTGATGCGAAGGATGGTCTACTAGAACCACAACAAGCAGATGCTGAGGAAGCTGATGAACCGCCTGAAAAAATGATGGAGAAACTGAAGAAAAGTTGGCCATTCCTTTTCACCATGAATGGTATTGAGGTCCACTACAAGATTTTAAGTGGAAGAGACTTATCTCGTGAAGTGACTGCACACATCACAAATAAGTTGGACATTGTAATAATGTACTTGACAACATTGTCTCATGCCAACATCCAAAACTTGGCGCTGAAGATGAGAGTGGAGCAAATTGGCCAGTTTCACGATACCAATGTTAATTTTTGTTGTGCATTGTGATGTTGGCTTGCCATTTCAAAGAAAATACTAGAAAGCTCTTCGTGCAAGTTGAGGTAAGACAGATTATAATAGTTAACTACAATTTACACATTTCAATTTTCGATTAAATTTTAGTTTATTATATACATCACTGAGTAATTATGCTGCTTTGGGACTTCCAGAAAACAGCACATCCATTAGCATTTGAATTCAATGTTCTGGAAGATCTGAAGGGGCTGTGTATTGTTGCACTAGGTGAGTACCGAGCTGCACTGGTAACAGAAAAGGCCATTGAAGTTAAAGACAAGTACTCACCATAAAAATTAATAATACTATTTTTGAAACCACTAGTCATTCCGAATACAAAAATTCAAAGAATTGATGAACATATTATAGTGTCAATACTTTAAATAGTATTTCAAGTTTCAATGGTGCCTTCAGATTTAATAATAATTTGCAGTTGCAATAAGGGTTTACTGATTAGGCTTTTCAAATTAGCAGAAATCCTTGACAATATGTTTTTGAAATATGTTTATATCTTGTGTTTCTTTCTAATAAGACACTGACATGTTTGCG